CATCTGATGACCCGGCGAAAGCTCGCTCGGTCCATTCCGGAAGAAGACCGGCGTTCGCCAGATACCACTCCGGCATCAGCGGTTGCGAGCAAGGCCTTCCAATACGACACGTACATGTGCCCAGATCCTCATGAGGAGTTTCCTCTACAAGGGACGGGCGTCAATCACTCCAAGCTCATTATAGACATTCTGATGGCAGCTAGATCCCAGTTTCAGGCACGGCGTCAACTGCGATTATCGGCCGAACTGTCTCTGGAATGCGCGAAAGAAATGGTGAACCTAAAAGCCTGGGATGACATTGTTGCTCTGCTACGGCCTCTATGGGAAGACATGTCATTCAGGTCAGAGGGATGGCTTACCATCACGGAGGATCTGAGCTGGGTGCTACGTGCTGCGGCGGCCCATGCCGGTCACGGGGAGCTTGTAGTCGCCATTGACTGGGAGCTGATGAACAGGAGTAAGAGACTTTTTTCTCTTCATCTTCACAAATACTGACTGCAACACAGAGTTCACGCGGCGGCCCAAGTGGCACTACGACGTTTCCAGGTCCCTCGAGGGAGTCAACATCGAGCCGAAACCCACGGTGACCATCAACGATGATGTAGTTTCTTCTTTCATCGCCGCATCCTTCATCTTCAAAAGCGAGGATGGCAAAGCTGGCGAGACTTGTCAAGCGCAAGTAGCCATCAGATCCGATGCTTTTCCAGATGCATCGTTGGTGACACTCAAGGGCCTGAGAATCGACTTTGAAGGTAGCCTGAAGACCATCACATTAGATCATGATGCGGAATCCAACGGCGGGAAGGGCAAGGGCAATTTTACGCTCGCGGATGTGCCCCTGACCGAGGCGGCCCGAGCCGATGAAGAAGGAGAGGAGGGCTCATCAGGGCTAAGCGGATCGGCAAACCTGACCTTGAAGCCTGGCCACACGAACGTTTACGAAATGGCGATACCTCTGCGGGAGCCTGGCGAGGCGCACGCATCCTCGGCGACGTTGATCCTGGAGACGGACACCTTCTTGCTGAATTACACCGTCACCTTCCGAGATCTGGGGGCGACAGACTTTTGGTTCGGGCCCTCGCTTTCGAGGAGACGAATTGTACGGCAGAGCGCGCATGTTATCCAAGTCCAGGCCAGGCCGCCCAAGCTGGAGATCAAGCTGGCGCAACCTCTGGATCAGTTCTACGCAAACGAGCCAATGGATTTGGTTGTGGATGTCGTCAACGCTGAAGAGACCGAGGCTGTCGCCAAGATCGAAGTCCACGTCTTTGGCGAACAGATCCCGTCCTTCCTTGTTGACATTGAAAGCGAAGGAGAACATACAGCAGAATCTGGTCAGGAAGAAGCCAAACTTACGGGGTTGACACTTGGGACTTTGGCAACATCACAGTCAAAACGCGTCAAGGTCAGGCTTGATCCCGTACAGCTGACCACATCTTACGATGTCACACTCAGGGTGTTTTATCATCTGGCCACCGACCCGGCGACCTTGATCATGCAGATCCTACCGGTCCAGCTCAACGTTGTCAATCCCTTTGAAGCAAACTACGACCTTATTCCGCGTCTCCATTCCGACACCTGGCCGAGCTTATTCGATTACGAGGGCGTGCAGGATCCGTCGGCGGACGAAGCCGCGGTTCAACCCCGCGGGCTGGCACAAAAGTGGTGCCTTGTGTGCCACTTTGCATCGTTCGCGACGGAAGACTTGGAGATTGTCAGCATGGACGCCGAAGTCATTGCGTGCCAGAATCATGCTCGATGCAACACGGCGACCCGCCCAGAAATTCCGGCAAGCGGGCTTCACATACCACCGAAGCAGATGCAGGAGGCCCAGTTCGATCTGGTCGCTCAAAAGTTCAGCCTCGACGATCGGGGGCCTGCGTCCCTCGACGTGGCTTTTGTCCTCAAGTGGCGCCGCACGTCGACAACCTCGTCACCAGCGCCGGTCAACACGACCAGGATGCTTGTTCCGAGATACATTGTCCTGGGCACCGAGCCCCGCGTCCTAGCTTCGTACTCCCTCGCCAACCCCGTGACGGGCCTGATCCACCTGGACATCACCATTGAGAACCCGTCGAGTCATTTCCTGACGTTTGGCTTGAACATGGAGCCCAGTGACGAGTTCGCCTTTTCCGGCTCCAAGCAGACTACGGCGCATGTCTTGCCGGTGTCTAGACGTACCATTACGTACCGACTGCTCCCTCTGATACGGGGCGACTACATCCGGCCGACGCTCGTGGTCAGGGACAAGTACTTCCAAAAGGTGTTGAGGATCATACCGACGGAGGGCATGAAGATCGACAAGGACGGCTTGCTGGTGTGGATACCGCCAGAGGAGGGCGAGGAAGAGGAGTAGGAGAGATGACGATGATGGCGATGGCGCAGATCAAGAGGCCGGGCTTTCTTGTGTACATAGAACTCTACATCTAAAGGTCTCTAAACATCCAGCTCCACAAAGGTGTCAAACACTATTATGCTCGCTCCTCTCTGTATTTCTAAAGTCTCTTCGCTCGTGAAAACACTCAATCTCTAAATCTTCGCCTTGGGCGGCCTCGCAGACCCCCCAATCTTGCCCATCCACTCCTCCGTAAGCGTCGTCTTCTCCTCAACACTTAACCTCGTCCACCGCTCATAGTCCTCCTGCTCAACCCTCCACTCCCCCACGCACTTTTCAATCCACTCGGCCGTCAACCGCGCACTCACACCCGGAACCTCCATCGGAAACAAATGGCCCCCACCCTCCAACGTAACCTCTTTCACCCTCCCCCTCTCAACGCCACCGCTCCCGCCGACGCCCGTCCCCGTCAACCTCATCTTCTCATCGCGCAGTTCCGGCGTGGAGAGGTCGCTTGCGCCGCCAAAGACGTAGAGACAGCTGGGTCGGAGGTGCGGGAGGCGGACGAGGGTGGAGGCGCCTTCGGAGCGGTAGACGGGGAAGGTGTAGTACCGCTCGTTGAGGGCCGGGTCGAGGTCCGGGACGAGGTCGGGGTGGAGGAGGTGGTGGCCTGTGGGGTCGTAGGCGTGCCAGGAGGGGCGGAAGTAGGTGAAGACTTCTTGGTGTTTTGTTGTGGCGAGGGTTACGCTTTCTTTTGTGAGGGTGGTGTTGGGAGCGTTGGGAGTGTTGGAGGAGGAGGATGAAGGGGAGGGGTAGAGTTGTGTTGGTACGTCGCGGAGACCGTGGTCCATCCACGCGTTGAATACCCTCTCATCCCAGCCGCGGTAGAAGGGACTCTTGAGGAAGGCTTTGCGTGCTTCCTCGCGGGACGGCCAGAGGTCTCTTCGTCGAGCGCTCGCTGCGGCGGGTGAGGCGGCGATGGTGCCCTTTGCGTTGGACGACCATTTCGAGATGACGGGATCCAGGAGGACGACGCCGGAGAAGAGGCGCGGGTTGATGAGGGCGACGTTGACGATTGCGTTGCCGCCGAAGGAGTGGCCTACGCCCAGCAGGGGACGGGGCGGGCGGAGGGTGTTGATGAGGTGGAGGAGGTCGCGGGGGTGGTCGAACCAGCCTGGGTCGTTGCCGAGGAAGGGTTCGTTTAGGGTTGAGGAGCGGCCTTGCCAGGCTGCGTCTGCGATTATGATGGAGCGGATGCGGAATTTGGAGGTGGGGAGGAGGGATTGGGTGTGGAGGTCTTGCCAGAGGGCTTCGTAGAGTTCCTGTGGTGGTGGTGATTAGTGAGCCGTGGTGTTTGGTGGTGGTTATGACGTGTATGTATGGTTCATGAGGAACATGATATGAAGTGAGTGGAGATAAGAGGAGGTGGACAAACCTTGGGGAAACCGTTGGCGTGGGCGCCAATGATTGTGACGTCGCCGGGTTGCGGGTTCGGGTTGTCCTTTGGGATGTACTCCTTTACGGCGAGCTTGAGGACGTCGTCTTGGGAGCGGGAGAGGGCGCGGGGGAACTCGCGGATGTGTGAGCCGTCGAGGACGTGTTCCTTGATGTGGAAGACGGAGGACATGTTGAGTGAGGCTGTTTAACTCGGTTGAATTGAATTGAGATGGGAATGAGATTCCAGCGAGTGAATGAGGGTGATGGCCAAGATACACTCAGTCTGTATGTTTTTTTGTTGTCTGGACTGAGTGAGTATGTGTGTGTTGAGTGAAGGGAAGGTAAGATGAAAAGAGGTCAAGTTGAGGCCAAGTCTCAAAATGTCGTCGTCTCACAGCTTCATCGGCAACTGGGCAAGGCAAGTTGACGAGGTTAAAAGACGGGACTAGACTTGCGACGAAGGGACCGGGTCTAAAGGTGAAAGTCTGGGGTCCTGGGGGGCGTTGGTGTGGAGCTGGAGATGCCGAGGTACCAGCGGTTACCGGTACGGAGTACGGGTACGCCTACCCTTGTCCTGTACTAAGCTTAGCCAACACTGCCTGTAATATATTTAGGCTTGAGAATCTGTACTGTAGGTCGGCTCATATACATCCCCGAGGCCGTCGGCATCATCCATGTATCACTTTGGAAGGCATTTTCAACCGAGAAGCTCTTACACAGAGGGGAGGAAAACTCAATTCAAGGGAATGAATAAACCGTGTACATTGATTGTGTCTTGGAGGCAACCGACTCGGGGGGGGGGGGGGGGGGAACACAGGTTCGACAATGGGCGCCGTCAGCCACACGTTTGAGATCCTGCAGTCTCGTTACTTGAGATGAATTGAGTTTTCTGTTGCCCCCATTGTGCGAGTATTCTTCCTTTTGTGTTTGTGTCTGTGTTTGTGTGTGAGTGTCACCCGCCTGTCATCCATTTGCTCCCGTGTCTCCCGTCGCGAGTTTGCGAGCATCCCGTCAGTGGAGGATTCAGCGGTACTTCCTACCCCGCAATCTCCAATCTTCCAGGCACGCCGCACCGCCAGCTTCTCGTCCCCGCAACACTTCATCTGCACAACTTCCGAGGATTCCCCTCCACACACACACGCCTCACCCAACCAACACCCGGCCTCACGTACCTTACCGAACCACTTACACCCGCCCCGGACCGGAGCCGGTCCAAAGACACCCCTGCATGCCGAACGTCCTCATCTTCGCCGGCGCCCCCGAGGCCGACTGGTCATCCCCGGATTCCCTCCTCCTCTTCGCTCCGCCCGCACCATCCCCAATAAACCTATCGCCAGCCCCCACATCGACAACTTCATCACCAACCTCAACACCAGCAACTCAAAATGCCACGGCAGCAAACACAACCACAACAGCCCTCCCCTCCTGGCGATCCCTCCCACTACACCACAAGCCCCTGACAACAGGCTACTCCCAGCCCCACGGCCTCCCCTCAAACTTCCTCCCCCCATCCCACTTCTTCTCCCTCGCCCGGGACGTCCACACCCAAGAGACAACAACCAACAACAACAACAACAACAACAACAACAATGACGACACCACCACAACCACAGACTCCCAAGACAACCTCCTCTCCCAGCAATTCTACAACCACTCCCTAGCCCTCCACCACGACCTCGCATCCTCCCAACTCCCGCACCCTCCATCCGCATCACAACCTCCACCCAAGCATACAGACACCTCCTTCAACACGACAACATCTTCTTCCTTCGTAACAGAAACAACAGACTCCTTTGAAGATACCACCACAGCAGACCTCTCAACCTCAACCACCCCTCCTCCACCCCTCCAAACATCCCACCACCTCTCCGACCTAGAAGACATACCCCCCGGCCCCTCCCTCCTCGCTCTCGCACCGCAAACCGTAACCGTAAACCTCATCGCGGGGATAATCTCCGTCTCCACCCCGCGTGCGGTGACAACTCGCTGGGGCAACGAGTTATCCCTCGTAGAAGTGTTGCTGGGTGATGAGACGCGCGCCGGGTTCGGGGTTACGTTTTGGTTGCCTTCGATGCCGCCTCCGCCAGCTGCAGCTGCGAAGAGCACCGGTAAGACGGGGGTAACAGCAGCAGGGGGTCCGACGTCGCCGGCAAACCTCCGAAGACAAGATGTCGTGTTGCTCCAGAATGTGGCGCTGCATGTCTTCAAAGGAAAAGTGTACGGGCAGAGTCTGCGCAAGGGGTTGACGAGGACGACGGTGTTGTATCGACGGAAGTTGGGGGAGGGGGATGAGGGTGGGTATTATCGTCCCAGAGATCTTGAGAGATCTATCATCACTGGCGATGGAGGAGGAGGAGGAGAAGGAGGGGATGGGGAGCCGACCACGGTGCATCCACAGCTTGTTAAGACGAGGAAGGTGTGGGAGTGGGTTATGAGGTTTGTCGGCGGCGGCGGCGGTGAGGAGCAGAGGACGACGGCGAGGGGAATTGTTAGGAGGGGGTGGGATGCGTTGCCTGATGATACCCAGTGAGGCGCGAGAATTACTTCACGTTCGGAGAGGGGACAGAGACAGAAACTTGAAAGAATGTTTTGAAAGGCATGGTTATTCCAAGTGTATACTGGGGTTGAATCGAGTTCAGGAGTTAAACCGAAAGGCCACAACAGAAGCCCTTGCTACTTCGTGATGGCAGCAAGATCAACATGTTCAGGTGAGACAGCACCTCGTCTGAGATCTCCCTCTCACCCGTTCCAAACACGAAGCGCTTCGGGTGAGATGGTCGAGGGATTCATGGGGGAAGACCCGAGTGTGGACCTCAATCCTTTCAACCACCTGACCTGACGTTTGGTTTTTTGTTCGATCCCGTGTTGGGGAACTATTTTCCCCCTTTCTCTCATAGTCTTGAACCATTGCGTCTAATCCTTCCTCCAGTAACAGGTCTCGCTCTTAACTTTACTGTGTGACAGCATAGGGAGTGGGTAAAATCACTTACACACGGGCATGGACGCTTCGTAACACATTTTCAACTCGACATTACAATTTCTAGTCCAAGTAGAGCAGGGTTCTAAACCGGGTATCCTCTAAATCTCATGTAACCGTTTACTTCCTATCGTACAAGACGTTGAAACTCTCAAACAGCAACGGCAGCAGCACCGCCCTTGCCCTCCTTCTTGACACTCTTCCATTGCAGGCCCAGGCAAGCAACAAAAGCAGCACACGCGCAGGCAACACTGACGTAAAAGGTGTGTCTGAGTCCAACCATGTAAGCCTCAAGCACCACGTCAATGGCATCGGCGCGTCCCATCTGCGTCAAGATGTTGCGGACCTGATCAGCGCCGGCATTGATAAAGATCTGGGGGTTGATATCCGGGGCGTTCTTGGTGACTCCGTCAATGAGACCCGTCTGGAACAGCGTCTGGGCGACGGCAATCATGATGGCGCCGCCAAAGGACTGGAAGAACTGCACGCAGGCTGTCGCAACGGGAACCTCTTCCTGGGGCAAAACTGTCTGGACGACGAGCACGCCGATCTGGAAACCTGCACCAATGCCGAGTCCCGCGAGGACCTGGTATCCGAACCACTCGCGCATGGGCGTGTCGAGGTCAAAGGTCGTGATCATGCCGGAGCCGACGGCAAAGAGGACCAGGGATGGCAGGATGATGGCGCTGTAGTAGCCGATGATGGAGATCAGGGCACCACTGACGACGGACGCGACGACGGTAGCGAGGAGAAGGGGCAGGATCTTGATGCCGGCCTGGACGGCGCTGACACCTTGAATCGCCTGGAAGTAGAGGGCTGCAATCTGTTAGCATGCCGACTTCCGAATTCGAAGCTGCTGTTGGAAGCAGAAGCAGGGATAGTAGTCTGAGAAGCACTTACAAAGGTAGTAGAGGAGCGGGAAGAAAGCAGCTCCAAAGAAGCAGGCAAACAGCATGGCGCAAACGACGTTGCGGTTCTTGAACAGCTTGGGAGGAAGCGTTCCCTTGTCGCCCTGCCACAGCTGAATGCCAATGAAGACGATAATCATGAGCGCGAACCCGACAAACAGTCCAATAATCTTGGCGCTGTTCCAGGGGTACTCGGCGCCCCCCCACTGCAGAGCGAGAATGAGGCAGACGATGGCGGGCAGGAAGATGGCCGTTCCAATGAGGTCGAGCTGCAGGATGCGCTGCATGAGAGTCTCCCCGCTGGGGTTGTTCTTCCTGCTGATGGTGAGGAGGAAGAAGATGAAGGCCATGGCGATGCCGCCGATGGGGAGGTTGACGTAGAAACACCACCGCCAGGTCGCCTTCTCGGTGAAGACACCGCCCAGCAGAGGCCCAGCAACGGAAGCAACACCCCACATGCCCCCAATAAGACCGAATGCCAGGGGTCGCTTCTCGAGAGGCATCGTGTAGCTGAGGATGACGATGGAGCCTGAGAACAGACCGGCGGTACCTATGCCAGCGATGGCGCGGCCGACAATGAAGGCGGTGGAAGTTGGCGCGAGGGCGCAGACGAGGGATCCGATTTCGAAGATGGCGATGGCGGTGAGGTAGGCGTATTTTATGCTGAAGAGCTTGTAGATTGTGCCGTACATTGGCTGTAGGGCCGTCGTCGTCAGGAGGTAGGAGGCGCCATACCAGCCGATATCCTTGACGCTGCCGTACTCTGCTGTGATTGTGCCGAGGGCCGGGGCGATGATGGTCTGGTCGAGGGCGACGAGGAAGACGGCGAGGCAGAGGGAGATGAGGATGAGGACGACTTTGAGACCGGACGGGTAGACGACGTCGTCGTCGCCGGATGTGTGCGAGGGGTCCTGCTTGTCGTAGGTCTCGGCCATGTTGGGGTCATCGTGGACGTGGTGTTTCTCGGTGGAAATTGAGGGATCGGCTGAGGTGGTGTCGCCGAGCTTCTCGTCGGGGTGTTTGGAACCCATGGTGATGGTGTTGTGTGCCCTGAGTTGGTGGATGGGACTAGACGGGTTGTGATGAATACTTTTGTTGTCGATTTTGCTCCAAGGGAGACTTCACTTATACACTGGTCGGAGTGTGTAGCTAGGAGGTTAGGGTAGGGAAGACGTCGATATTGTTCTTTTAGAAACCTGAGGGTGTGGAAAGAAAGAAAAAAAAAAAGGAAGGACCCTGAATGATATTAAAGAGGCATGAGGTACATGTGGCAGGAAAGGTGTGCGGCAGGCAGGGCAGGTTATGTATCCATCCGATGAGGCGGTCCTAGGCCCAGCTCGCGCTCGCGCTTGCGGCCCCAGAGTGCTCCTAGAGAGCTCCTGAATGACATCTGAGATCGTGAAATTTCCCAGCTGCAGCATCCCATCGGGTAACACTGCACCATCGCAGACCCCAACCCGATTTGAACACTCGTAAGCCACAGGGATGGCCCAGCCAGAACGTCCAAGCTCTCCCCTGGTCCATGCCTACCAAGACAGCAGCATCTTTCTTTGTGTGTGGGTATCCGCACTCCGTACCCAAGTAGCGCAGGTAAGAATAAGCCAGGTAAGAAACTTAGCGTGAGCTTGTCTGCGTTTGAGTGGATGGGTGGGATGGAGTCTGGAGAGAGGGGGGAATTGGGGAAACGAGTCACTCGGTCTAGACACGCTGCAAACTGTGGTCGTCAAAATTGGCAAAAAAGAAGAAAATGTCCGAGGAGGAACGCCCTTCGTCACCATAGTTACGTGAGCTTCAGTCGCGTGTGTGTCAGTGCCGGAGGGAGGGCGGAGGGATATCGGGCCAGGGGCAGGGGTCACTCCGAGCACAAAGTCCTCCTACACAGTAGTGTGAAGTAGTACCTAGTATCCTCTCTACCTTATTTTACGGTTTACGACGGCTGCAGTAGACTCCATGTGGCAGTGGATCAAGAGTGTAATGGATCTAAAAAATCTAAAGGCCGGAAAATCCAGAGGAATTCCAGGCAATCGGTCGGCCCATCTCGGTAGTCGGAGGGAAAGCTTGTCCGACTGACGCGGGGTGGGTCATCAACCACATCCGGCGCCGGTGATTGGTTGAACCCGGCGCCCACGCCTTCGGCCCTCGCACTTTGATTTCATAATCCAAAAGCCTCTTTTTGGATTTACGACGTCAAGACTCTAGACGCGAATCCAGTATCGCTCAGACCTTTGCTCATCGCCCGTCAGCTTGGAGCGCTAGCGGGCGCCGACTCTGGCCGCAAACACCTGGCTGGGGCTCAATTCATTCTTCCATAATTCTGCCAGAGAATCTTGAGAGTCCAAAGGCCCATAGACGGCTCCGAGACTCACGGCGATCCTTGCACTTGCAGCTGCTGCTTCCATACACAAGTGCCAAAGTTGACTCACACCGTGCGTTCGGCCGATGAATCGCTTGCGGCTCATAATCTGTCCGACCGCCGCGCCTTTGATGATTCACGAATGGGACTTTGGTCGGCCGTGGGACCGGACGGACGTGGGTTTCCATCCTTCGTGGAACCGGACTCGACCAGGGCAAGCCGTGAGGTAATAGAATGCTCCGATTTTGGTTTCCTCTGGTGTGTAAGTTGCATTACCTAATGCCTTCAACGCCGTTGCAGGTTGAGGGAAGGGACGGGACACGGCGACGGGAGGGGCCGTTTAGACAGCCGGCCCCCACATGCCGTATGAGGTTATTCGGAAATCCCGAACAACGACAAACCAGGCGGTACTCACGAGAGTTTTCTTACATATCTTAACCAGATTGACCTGTCTTCGGTTAATAAAAGATTATTATCATTACCTACCTTATTATTCTTGTCGTGGAGTATTCCTCAAGGAATATACAAGAAGAAAAAAGAAGTTATAACTAGTTTTAATAGGGCTTAATTAAGGGTTCTCTTATCATAATGAACCAAATACCAAAAAAATTGTCCAAAATGACAAAAGAGTTCACCCCCCTTCTACGCCATCCCCCCGGTGCTGGACTGGGGGCTACATCTCTGGTGCTCATGCTGGGATTCGAACTCGGGTATGTGCTGAGCCTGTCGTCGAGTAGGCTGGTTGGCGATTTGATTGTTGACCATAAACCACTCCACCATCCAGCCAGTTTGACTTGACCCCCGAACTAGAGGGCGCCTGCTAGCTGGTGACAGGAATTGCGTTGGAGGGGTGTATGAAGGCTTGTTGTGTGGCTATTCAGGTTGTGTGTTCGGGTGGTGGAAACCTGGATGATTCAGGGGGAGGGGCCTCGTGTTAAGACTCTGAGGGAAAGTATCCCATCGTGGGCCGCTTCCTTTACATGTTGAGCCATATTCACCAAGGGATCAGATATTGTTCCTGCACCTGATTTCGCTGCTACATCTGCATCAGCAGGTGCACGATAAAATTATCTGATCCGCCATGATATTGCTCTTCATAAACTCACAGTACCTTCTTTGTTTATTTCTACTACTCACAATGCAGTAAATAGCATCATAATACCTAGGTATAGTACTTTCTTTCCATTGCGTTGTTGTGACTTTGCATCTCCTTCATGTGTTCCTTCTCTCAAGACCACCTTCCCTCTGTTGACCAAGGTAGATAAATTAGGAAGTCTCCCAGGCGTACCTTG